AGTGGGAGGGTAATTACTGGAACCAGTCCCCTGTATGGCTTTCTCTGCAGCAGCTTCTCCTCTCCCTCCTACTGGCTTTCAGGGATCTTTTCCAGTAATTGCTTCCCCTCCCCCCGCACCCCTCACCCTTCCTGTGCACCATACGTTTTCTCGGGCTGCCCAGGCCCCCCCTGTGTGCCCCCACCCCCGCAGTGCTGCCGGCTTCCCTCCTCTGCTTCCCACTGGCAGCTGCAAGCACACAATGGGATCCTTCAGGATGGAAAATGGGGGAAGGGTCCAGTAAATATGTCAGATTTACCAGTCCTTTGCTTTTGTGAATGAACACCATAAGTGATAAGTACTGATCAATCACTCTGTCCATAACGGAAGCATATATACTAAATAGATAATCGATGTCCAAAAAACGATAAAATGTGAATAAAGTTAATACCCCTTTTATGAGGAAGTCAGGAAGTGACGAAAAGCATCAAGTGACGCGACGTCGGGTGTTGCACGGTGACCGGAAGTGGCGGATCGTCCATCTTAATTGAGGGTTATATCGATTATTGGCGTTCCTGGAAGCTTCTCGTGAGATGGGAATGCGAATACATGTGGTTTATATGCGATTTTAAACTATTTTAATGTAAGCACAACTAATAAAGCCTGGATTTAATTTATGTGACATACTACACTATATTATTATTATTATACAGTATTTATAAAGCGCCGATAGTTCGCTCAGCGCTGTACATTACAAAGGGGGACAGAACATGTGACAGAACAATACCAATACAATGCAAAACATGAGGGGATCGAGGGCCCTGCTCTTTCGAGCTGACAATCTAGGAGATGGTTATCTTTCTTCTATGAGTGATTGCCTATGGATGGCTCTGGGAAGCAATATGTCATGTTTGGAAGTATGGGATACCCGGCATCTGGTATAGCGTTTGCGGGATAACCTAAGGATTGGTGGCTAATTGAATAATTTTTCTTAGAAGGCTTTTTAATCACATATTTAGGGTAAGAGTATTCACTCTAGCCACATAGAAGTGTTCACGGAGAAGTGTTTATATTGAAGTGTACACAGAGTGCCTCACTATTTCACGTGTTCTCACGTTGTGTTTTTATATTGTGTTTTCACATATGTATATATGGTTTGATCATTGATGTATTGAGAATAATATACTATCCAGTTTTTATTTTATGTTTTGGAGGTACACGGCAATACTGGATCATATTTTGGGATTATTACACTGAAGATTACATTTGGAAGGATTCACTGACACTAAAGAGGATTCATGATTTACATAACTGAAGCATAGTATACTGTGCTTTTTGGGGGGCCCTATCAGGTTGGCTGCATGGGGCCCCATGGTTTCTGCCCTGGAAGGTGCATTGAGATTTTTTAAAGAGTGTCTTAGACACTCATTATGAATTCCAGGGAATATGTTTAACTGTCTTCAGTTTAACTCTGGAATCTGTCTAGTCATCTAACACCTGTCTCATGTACTGTCCCCCACTATAATGTACAGTGCTGAGCAAACCTTTTGGCGCTCTATAAATACTGTATAATAATAATAATATATGTTTTCTTACTTTATATGTGGAACATCGGTCTACAGGGATAGTGGATTGTGTCTATACTCAGGGAGACCAAATCTTATCTAATGTACATGAGCAGCTTCTAGACTCAAAAGCTAATTTTATAGAAGGGGATTGCTTGATTTATTGTCCTCTTGCCATTGAGTAATATTTGGAGGATCTACGATATTAGTATAACGTTAAATTGAATACCTGTTCCAGTTTAGAGATGGATTAATTAACAACAGGCAGCTGTGCTGCTCTGCCTGGACTCACCAGTAAAAGAATTTAGAATTTTAACTTGATTTACCACCTTCCCAAAAAAGGGGACAAATATACATTTTCATAAATAGGCCTGCACAACTATATTTATTTGAGGCTAAAATTACCATTTTTAAAGTAGACCTGTCACGATAAAAATATAGGAGCTGTGATTGCTGTCTTCATTCTAAAAACACTGGTTGCCTAGCTGTTCTGTTTCTGGATTCTGTATTTTTGGGTAACAACCTGAAACAAGCATGCTATAAATGAGTGTCGGAAAAGTGCCAAAATTTCATATCTGTGAATTTGTTCTATATTGATGATTCAGGAAGTACTTGGGGTAAAATGTCAGTATATCAACCAGGGAATGTATATTTTTAGAAAGACTGATGACAGGTTTCCCATTAATGCAAGTGTATGATCCAAACGCACACGTTCCTGCATCAAAAATTGCTGTGTGTATAAGTGGGTGCTGCAGTGACCGCCAGCTGGAACCGAACAAAATCGGCAAGGAAAAAATGTCACCAGCACACCGAGGATCACCAATATGGGTCCAAAGGTTTTAATAAACCATCACATAGTTACAGCAAGGCAACGTTTCGGAGTCTCACAGGACCCCTTCATCAGGCAGGTTTCCCATTAAGACATGCACAGTATACTGTATATTTATTGCACTGTAAAGACAAATTTGTTATGATTGCCTTCCTATTGTAAAGCCTGTAAGACAGCTTTCTTATGTTGTCGGTATTGTCGTCATCGTTGTCCTAAACCTGCTTCATTCACTTTCTGAGCTTTCATAAATGAATAATGGAAGTAAAAAAAAAAAAATTAATTTATGTGTAATTAAAGATAAACCTTTTTTAAAATGAATGTGGATAGAGTGGAGCGGGATTAGAACACCTGTCAGCTTTTATTGCTGTCTGTGCCCGTTAGGGAGAGTCACCCTTCCTATTTTTCCTGTTCACGGTTGTTGTTAAAAGTGAGAGTAAAAAAACTCAAATTTTGGGTTGACACCAGAAAAGCAAAAGCGAGGAAATCTTTGAATGGGGATGCTAGTTCTGGTGATCCTGGTGACACCCCGGAATCCCCTCACTTTGAAAGGATTTTCTCTCACTTGTTGTGGCTGTGGTACAGTAAGTGAAAGGAAAACTCCTCTATGGGACACAGATTGCAAAATAAATAAAACTGTCGGGTTATAACCCTCTCTCACTGTGTCCACTGTGGGGGGAATAAGTCTTGCCTTTTAGATACACTTTAAAGCTGAACCCCAGACATATATAAAGTGTGTAAATTATTGCCCTCTGTATTAATTTTAAAAGCATGAAAGTGTTAATAAACCCAGGACCCTGCATTCACTATATCTGGTCTCCCACAGTACACAGAACATGGAAGTGCAATTAATTCAGTAAATGTAAACTGCTAAATACCTTTTCTCATCAGCAGTTACAGTAGTCTTGTGACTTCAGCAGAGCACTGGTTTAAAGCTTGTAGTAGGAGGAGTTTTCTTTCTGCTCTAGGAGGATGCAAAAAAAAAAACCTCTCTAGCTAAAGTGAGCATGTGCAGAAGGTCTACAGGTTCAGTCTGTCTTATCAACATGAACATTTGAACAAGAAGAGGGGCAGAGAAGTCAGGATCAAATAGCCTTTTTACACAATGTAGAGGATTAACCCCTTAGGTTCCACAGGGAGTATAACAAATATGCTTTACTGCATATACAGACTGATTTTACTGTTGTGGGTTTAGTAACACTTTTTAAGTGCATTTTTTTAATGCAACTGGTAAAATATTTTGAAATAGACTTAGTATCAGCCTCTTGCTGTTCTTGTACTGCAGCACTCAGCCTGGAAGAAAGAGGGACAGTTGTTCCTCAGTGCTCATGTGCAACAAGGTAATATACTGACAGAAGAGTGACAAATCCTTCATACTACTGATGTGTTTTTCACTGTCCAGTTATAGGATGGAGCCAGGGACAAGACATGGCTGTATTATTTAAAGCAGATCTAAATCAAAGAATGAAGATTGCATGTATTGCAGCTTACCTTTTCTTAGATGTGAGGGCTACATTTGTTCACACTTTTTTTTTTTTCACACTTTGTTTCTTCTGTATTTTGACCTGGTGATCCTGCCAGGAATTTACTTGTTCTAGGTCGACAACCGTGCTGTGTTTAGTAGAAGTGTGTTAGGTCTATATAACATCTCCCCCTCTCCATCACTTAGGGGGAGGTGTTTTGTAGTCTTGGTATTTGGTAACTGATAACTTCCTGTACTGAACTAGCTCACACTTTTTTTTTTTGCACATGTTGAACAGATATAACAAAATGCTTTTAAAGTTATATGGACCATAAGTAAGCAAAAATGTATTGTTTACATACCCTCTTAAAGCAGTTTTAAAGGAAATTTAAATCTAAATAAAAACCATGTTATACTCACCTGCTCTGTGCAGTGGTATTGCACAGATTTGCGCCAACCTCCTTCGCTTGAGTCCCCCACTATTTTGGCCCCTCCTCTTCTGTGTCTGTCCCCATAGCATTCCCCTGCTGTAGGGGCTGACATGCAGGCTCGATTACAAGCCAGGCTGTGTGCATCCATTGACACACACAGTGTGGCTTGGCCCCACCCCCTGCACACAGCTCACACAGGATTTGACTGATGGCATCAGTAACCAGTGGCTACCGCTGCTCTCAGCTGTGCTTGTGAGAGTGAGAAGAGAGGAGTAAAGGCACAGGCACAGTGGACAGGCACAGTGCTGGATCATTACAGGTCTCAGGTAAGCATTGGGGGGGAGGGGAGTTTGCACAGCAAGTGGCAAAAAATGTTCACCCTAATGTAGGGGATGCATTCAGGTAAAAAATCGTTTTATCTTTAGAACCACTTTAAGTGCCAGACAAGGCTGTGCTTAGTAAATCTCAGACCTGAATAAGCAGAGCTACATATCATTTGGCAGGTAAACTAGCTCTCTTTATATGTATTTTACCTTTTGAGTTTAGCTGTTGCCTGGAATATCAATACCAACGTATGTGACTACACTGAGAGGGATTACAAATTAGCTGCTCTGTGTCCTTGCTCGCTGACTTCCACTAGATAACTCTAGATTTAAATATGGGCATTGTTTGATTTGATTGACTGACTAACTGATTCATCAAATAATTTTTGTTTTTGTCTTTCTCTTTTTATTTAGTCCCCCCGCATTCTCCACTTCCTCTGGAAACCAGAACCCTGGAACTCATGTACATCCTGATGATGCTGAACAGCAAGCTGCCCTCTTACTAGCCTGTTCTGGTGACAACCTGCCTCCCAGCCTGCCTCCAGTTAATATGTATGACCTTTTAGAAGCCTTAAAGGTAATGTCAGCTGTCTCTGTGAGTGTATGGCAATGCATGTCAAAAAAGGACACTTTTAACCCGAAATTTTAAACTATGATAATGCATATTTGGTAAGTAGAAGGTTTCTGCATTATGCACGTTTATAAATGAGGCTTAAATAAAACCTTTCTTGGGAGTAGTATCTAGGCTGCCATTGCTGATGCCTCTTCTGTAGTGCCATTTGCCTGATTTTCATGCCAATGCCATTGCTTCAGTGCTATGAGTCATTGACCTGGGACAAGCACCCAGATAATGAATTTTAACTTCTCTCAGAATGCTTGATCTGGGTTTGAGACTCAGAAGTTCTGAAGCCAGTCACGCAGTCACAGAAAACTAGCATTTTCAAGAGATCTAGCAATTGCAGCCCCCATATATCTATCATAACAGGTGCACTGCGAAGGGTTAGTCCATCCAAAAATGATTTTTTGGCTATAGATGGCTGGTGGGCAGGTAAGCTCTTGGCTTTTTTTTTTTTTTTTTTTAATCCAGCCTGGAGAGTAGGAACTTTTTCTTTGGGACTGATGCACATTTGCATTAAAAAAAACAGCATTTTTAACAATACTGCATTTTTTATGGCTTTGGAAAGTTACATTGTTTCCTATGGGCCTATGCATACAGTACGTAATGATCAGTAAACTTGCACTGCGTTCAAAACCGTACAATTAAAATCTCTGTCCAAGGTTGTTAATGTACTTGTGTACACAAACGAACGTAAACACATGTGCATATGTACATAAATATATTTATTGCAAGGGAAGTAGAATTTAAAGTACCATACAGATGTTTAAATGTGAGCACTTTAAGGATCGTTACTTGCATTTTTATGCAGAATTTTTCTGCCGGCAAGATCTTGTGTAGATGAGCAGCAGTTAGTTATGGCTGTGTGCACATGTACCCTCAGTAGTCATAAAAACACCAAACACCTGTAAAAGTGGCATTTTGTAAGCCCAGTGTACATGAGGCCAAAGAGTAATTCTGGGGGTAAAATACCTACCTTCCATGGAGAGAATGTTGGTCTAGGCTGCCTTCATTGCTGGCAATATTTGTGGAAGCCTAGGCACTCGATCACATGATTGCTGTTTAAGTCTTTTAAAAAAGGGTAGGTTCACTTTTTGACAAAAAATAATAAATGCACATTTTTTTTGCAGGTATAAAAATGTGCATTTATTATTTTTTGTTGCAGGAGCCTGCAAAGCTTTGCATCAGCAGATCGCTGGTTCCATGCAGGTCTCCTGCAGACCTGTCAGTATATCTGATTGCCCGTATGGGTTGTATGGGCAAGCAGATATGACAGGAAGAATCCATGAAATGAAGTTCATTGAGAACTACAAGCTGACATTCGCTAAGGCTGTTGGGATTTGTAGTTTTCTCATTCACAGTGGACTGTGATTAAGGGACACGGTTATTAAAAATTTTACAGCTGGCGGGGGGAGAAGATCCCCCGCTAGCTGTCAAAACGGGGGCAGTCTATTCTTAACATGTTACACCCTGAATATGGGTGTAAAATGTAACATGCTATGAAAGGTGAACTTATCCTTTAAGGGGTAAATTTTGAGTTCAGTTCCTCCTCAGCAGAGACCAAGTGCCTAGGAGAATGCGCAACAGAAGAACTCATAGAGCATATTGTAATGGACATGAAGCCTTAAAGGCTTAGTTCACCTTTGGGAACATGTTACATGTTTCACCCGTTTTTAAGGTTGAACATGTAACATGTCCCCAATGCTGCAGCCGCTGCCTGAATTTATTTTTTTCCCTCATCCCTCTCTATGACAGAAGTACAGGTAGAAGTTCCTCGTACAAGCTGTCACTTATTAAAAACAGCGCATCAGTTCATCAGTTCATCAGTTCAAAGTGTTCTGTGAATGAACAAACTATGCACTATGATACAATGCTTTACAGGCTCCTGCAACCAAAATTAATAAATGCACTTTTTTTTTTAACCTGCACAAAGATGTGCATTTATTATTTTTTGTCAGAAGGTGAACTTATCCTTTTAAAGAAAACCTGGTCTTGCAGCACTGACTTTTATCTGATTCATGCGGTCACTTTAAGCATAATTTCCCTTTTATTGAGAACATCCATGACAGTTTTATTGTTTTCTTGCATAACATCAACCCTTTTATCTGCCAATACATTTTTTCAGCAGTAATTGTGATTGTTCCTCTTGTAGCTGTCCTCTCCCCTCACAGTCTCATTTTATTTTTCTTCATTTTCTGCTCTCTTTACTTTAAACCTTCAAACTTGGTTGAAAAGGTAAATTTGAAATACAGTATATGCAAAATTTCAGACTTGCCTTACTAAAGAAAATAATCAATTTTTTTTAAAATATCATTATTAGTCTTAAAATAAAGAACATTAGAAATTGAAAAAAAGAAAATCTGTCATTTCTGATATTACTCTTCTATCCACTACATGCTACAAACACTTTAGTAGTTAGAGTAGTTACACCTGTACTTTAATGTAGCCTTGATTTAGGGACAGTGGAGAGAACTTTAATACAAACTTAATTTCTAGACAGGAAAAATAGCTAACAAGCTATCCTACTGTATGCCTTAAAAGAATGTTAAAAAAAATAAAATAAAATCCCCACATTGGAAAACGTTTCTCTCAGCAGCCACTGATCAATGTATTCTGACAGTGGCCAGTGGCAGTTGCTGCTGTCAGAATGAAGTGTTCTGGCATGAAGTGTTCTCCTCTCCTCTACCATGTTTTGGATGGAGGAATCTGTTCCTTCCTTCTTTTTTTTGGGGGGGATTTAGCCAAACTAACAGTGTATGGGCAGCTTAACATGTACTAAAGTCGTGTTTGTACTTAAATCCTCAAAAAGAAACATGGATGGCAACAATAATAATAAAAAAAAAAACAAGTTAGAGGTTCCTACTCATCCTCACTGTAATAAAAATGTGTTTTTATTTTCCTTGTGTATCAGAGAGTTTTATTGTCTTTTTCTCTTGGTAAAAAATTTGTCATTGGGCAAGGAAATGGATATCTGATTCCTCCAACTTGGCCCTCAGACATCATAAAAACCTGGCAGAAATTTTAATCTTTTACCACTGTAAAGGGTTTGGCTGCAGATTACACTTTAAAGTCAGCATACTCCACTCCTCCCCCTAGGGGAGTTCATGTGCATCTCCCATTCTTTTTGAGGAGACGTCTCAGGGGTACCAGAAGTTATTGATGTGTTTTTTTTTTTGATTGTTTGAAGACATGTTTTGGGCTTTGTTCCTTTCCCCCATTTATATTTACATCTGGTCGGGAAGGAATAAGACGTAAAAAGGAAAAAAGCAAGATATTGTTAAGAAAGTTTTGGATCTTTGTGGTCTCTGTTTTGTTTGATTACCATTTCTGCTATTCTGTTTATTACGGGATCTGGGTATCCACGTTGTTCTATTTGTGTAATCCTGCTGTTGCAGTGATGACATTGTGGATTCTGTAAGCACTGTTCCTTTTTCTCTATTATTTTGACAATAAAAGTTGTTTGGATTAAAAAAAAAAAATTAGCATACTCATCAAAGCCTTCATATCCATATTTCTAAAGCTATATAATGTAGTTCAAACAGTTGAAAGGATGGCGTTTACCTGTCAATTTGTATGCAATTTGTATGCAATTATAGAAATAATTTTGGTAAATCGGTAATCAGAACAAGACAAGAAGTCTTTTGCAGTTTATAATGTCTTCCACTCTATCTCAGGTCCGTTTCTGTAGTGTATCTTTAATGGGTTTTATTTACAAAAATTTTTCAAGGATGAGGAAATTTTCCATTCAGCTTTTGCATCAAGAATATATAAAACAGCCTTTCTCAACTGGAGGTTCCTCCAGAGGTTCTTGGTTCCTCCACAGCCTGCTAGGGGTTCCTTGAGCAAAAAGCACTTTCTGTCTTGAATAAATAGTCTTTTTTAGGTATCTGTAGGGGGTATTCTTCCCACTGACCATTATTTATGTACAGTAAGGTCTAGTAGTTATTAGCAGGGGTTCCCTGAGTCTGGAAATGTATTTCAAGGGTTCCCCAGAGTCAAAAAGGTTGAGAGACGCATGTGAAATTCTTTTATAGAGGAAACAGATCCATCATAGCTATGTGAAACTCTGCATCTGGACTGTTATCCAAACCTGATCATACATGTGGATGTAGATTTATTGAACTTTCAATTCTTTGCTTTGCAATTTGGACCAAAAAAAAAAAAATCGTGGTTTCGCTTGACTACAAGAGATGGGAATGAAATTGTCTCAGTCTAATGTTGTAAAAAGAAATGGAAATAAATTAGAAACAAAACTGCCAATTTTGTAAACACATCAATTCTATTACATATTTTATAAACTGTATTGAAGCTGTCAGTTTATCACAAGGTTTGAACTTCAGAGTCCACTGCATTTTGGTGATCAGTCAAACTTTTAGGTGGTAGATTGCTTAGTTTCTGGAGATTATTTGCAACCAAAGGGATAACTAGAACCTTCAGGGCCCCAGTGCAAGAAACCATAAAGGGCCCCCCTAACCCCCTTCTGGGGTCCCCCATGGTGGCAGAACCCCAGGGTCCTGTCACAATTGTGACCTTTGCAACCCTGGTAACTTCACCACTGGTGTTGGTAGTGTTTTTTTTGTTGTTTTTATTTATTTTTTAATTGTTTTTTTTTCTTTTTGCAAGTTTTATTTTAATTTACAATTTGTTTTTCTTTTTTTATTATTTTTTACAATTTTTTAGGAGTTCAGTTTGGGGGCTTTGGTGAAATATCAGGGGTCTAAATAGACCTCTGATGTTTCTCCTTTTGAGACAGAGAAAGGGATTAAGCACACAGTCCTCAATCTCCTTCTTTGCAGCCTCAGCTGCACAGAATGAATGGACGGGAATAGCTCTGTACAGAGTTTCCCGTTCATTCATAAACTGAAGCTTAGTAAATACCGTTTAAATCCGTGATCGGTACGGATTACTGACTATTCATTAAGACAAGGAAGGTGCCATCAATTGACCTGTTCACCGGCCCCTTCCTCACTCTCCCTCCTGAAGGATCTCCCACAGCAGCCAAAGGGAAAGGGGAACCCGGCAGCGCTGCAGTGGATAAGGGGGGAGGTTAGGGGGAGTACACAGGAGCCTGCTCACAGTACGAGGTGGATAGAGGAGGGATGGCAGGGCAGCCTTTTAGCGGCTGCAGAAAGAAAAAGGTGGGGATTGGTTCCTCTATATCCTACCCCTCCTAGAGCATTGCGCCAGGTCACACTTGACCCTGTACATGTGCCCTTGCTTGCAATATTTGTGATTCTTGGAAGCCTCAAAGTAGCTGAAATTGACTGAACTTTGCCACATGTATAGTCCACTTCACTCTGCCATCTAGTGTATATTTGAAATACATTTTTTTGCAGCATTTGAATTTGAAAATTCTGTATTTAGCATCAATGATAGTAAATTTGTAACTTTTTTGTACAGATTCACAGAGAAGTTATTCCTTCACACACCGTATATGCACTGAATATGGAGCGAATACTCATGAAGCTTTGGCATCCAATTGAACAAGAGCTGCAGCAAGATGTTATTCACCGACAAAGATTAACAGCCAAAGAGGGATTATTGTGCTAAATTTAAAAGACTTTTTCTATGGACCAATCGATCAAATGGTAGCCATGTTTTTTTTGTTCTAGTGTGATCTGCTTTAGCCAGAATCTACACACAACCAAGCATGATCATCTGCCCACATCAGATGCAGAAAATTTTGCTGGACTTTTCTTTTGTTCTCAGTAAAAACTAATTTTCATGCAGTTGTTTAATAAACATTTCCAAGAATAATACATTTTTCATAACAGTTTAACTTGACAGTATATTGGAAATTATAACTTGTGACTTTAGGAAAAGACTCTCAGGAGGTGATTTTTCTTTACTTATCTTTTGTGGCTTCCTAGACCACATAGAAATTACCATATGTTTCGTTCTTGCTTTGTGAAAGCTAAATAGAATTGTATTTTCTTGTTTAATAATCTACAAATTGAAGAGCTTGCATGTTAACTGGAAATAAGTTTGTTATATTTTTGTTTTTTTTTCCACAGCAGTCAGCCTGTTTTCAAGGATCTCTGAATATTCTTAATGTGCACAGTGACTGTAATGATTCTTTTGAATAGAAATGGCCAACCCTTGACATAGTTGCCCTGTGAGGAATGGATGTATATATTTGAAGGTTTCCAGTTGCTGCTTCATTTTATATAGCAACAGCATTTACTTTAAATATTTATAGTTCCAGTCAAAAAGTGGAGGCCTTGTTTGCCAGGCTATTCTTTACCCTAATGAAATAAAAAGCCTGTTTACAGAGCTCAATAGCTGAACGTCACAATTATACACACAACTAAGTAATGGAAATTACTTTTCCCTCCTTCTACCCTGATTGTATGCTGTGTTCATATGGCAACATGGATCTTCTATTGGAAAGAGACAGCCTGAAAGCAAACAGTTTGTGCTGTGATCCCTTTATAGAAAACTCATAAGGCTCTGTAAAAATACCGCTATAAATACACCATGCATTACATGTTTGTAAATAAATATATCCTTATGTAACAGAGGAAAACAATACAACTTGACCAAAAAATATATTTTCAATTTAAAAGATGGTAACTTATCTAACTCTGTTATTACCAGACTCATCTTTACTGGGACAAAGGTTGCCATTGTTATGCAGGTACTCATCTATATCATTTTCATCTGATATAGACTTTCATATCTCCAGTAACAGAGTAGTTCTAAAATGTGAAAGTTAATTTCCCTTGATTTGTGTTTCTTATAGCTAAATATCCAGTTCAATATTTAAGTGCAAGAAGAATTTGAACCATCTATTTTAGTTATTGTAGTTATTTACAAATGAATTTATTTTTTTATGTATGTTTTTTAGTAGTTGCACTATGAAATGATTGAAAAGACAATAAGTAATTTTGTATAAACATTATACAATACGTAATATTAATAATTTGGTGAGAAAAAAAGCTAATGAGAAGGAGTTGATTAGTACTAGTTTCAGGGATTGTATGATGAGAAAAAAAAAAAGACAAAGGTAAATTCATGAATTTCTAGTTGTTACCATGAAATGCCTAAAGAGTTCAGCACTGCTATGGATACAAAGTTCAGCTATTTTACTTTGTCTCGCTATTGCATTTGTGGAGAGTGAACCCCTTGGTGAGCTGGCACCCATACCTGGAGTGTAGCGGAGCTTCAGATTTTTTTTGTTTTGGACCTACCTTGGAATGTGGGATGTGTGAGGAACGGTGGCTTGCGCATAGTGCTACGTTGTACAGGAGAGGGAAAACAAATATTGCCTGTGTCTTCAGAGATATCTTAATGTCCTAGACCTGGCTTTCTTAATCAAGGGTTCCTTAAAGCGGAGCTCCACCCAAAAGGGGAAGTTCCGCTTTAAGCCTTTGTCCCCCGCTCCACATTAAGGATTGGCACTTTTGGGGAGTGGGGGTACCCGAATTTGACAGGTACCTGCTCCCTCTTCCGCTGCGATTGCCTAGGCGATCGGAAGCGGAAGTCATCCTCCCCCCTTCCACCCTTAGTCTTCTGAGAAATGTGACAGGTCCTAGAAGACTACGGGGCCATTCACAAAGCACAGCGCTTCTCGCCCATGTGCAGTGGGTACCCGGCTGTGAAGCCGCAAGCTGTCACTGCCGGGTGCTCACACTGAAGATGTTGGTACCAGGGAGAGAAGACAGCCGGATAAACCAGCGGTGGTGAGGACACCGCTGGACCAAGGGACAGGTAAGTGTCTGTATTTTAAAAGTCAGCAGCTACAGTATTTGTAGCTGCTGACTTTTGTTTTATTTTTGTTTTGTTTTCTTTCTAGGTGGAGCTCCGCTTTAATAAATTGGCAATTTCTGCCTCTCTGATCGGTAACCACTGACACCAGTGTTTTTTTTTGTTTTTTGGGGTCTTTTCTTTGGTTAGCAGCATTCTTCATGCTGACCATCAATGTTAGAAGCATTCTTCCCAATGAACTCAAATGTAAGCTGCATTCTTCTCATTGTTCACCAATGTAAGTGTCATTTGTCTAACTCTGGAGTGTCCAACCCACAGCCCAGGACGACTATGAATACGGCCCAACACAAAATCGTAAACTTACTTAAAAATTTTGATTTTTGGAATTTCTTATAAAAATGTGTTTACATTTAATGAACACATACAGCCGAAGAAAAATTTGACAATATTCCTTTGCTGGACTTTATAAGTTTTATCTTCCCAAAGAATATCCCACTCTTCACAATCACGCCATCTTCATGTCACCAGTTTTCAGCAGCACCTGTATTGTGAGCAACTGTTTTTAAAGACAAAGCACTCAAAGGGCAAAATTAGAACCAAAATATGATACCATGGGAATTCATTGAGAATTGCTACTACATCCATCAAACCAGATATTCATGCTTTAGTTTAACAAAAACAGTGTCAAATATTGCCCTTGTTTTATGTTGCCCTCTTTTACTTTTATAATAAAAAATATTACAAAAAATTAAGTTTTGTTACTCAGGTACATTATCTGTATCAGTGTTTAACTTGTGATTTGCCCAACTTTTTCAGCTATCCTTATTTCTAGTGTATTTGATGCGTGACAATTCCTCTTCCAACATGGCCCACGAAAAATAAAGGGCTGGACACCCTGATCAAATTGATCACCAGTGTAAATTCACACATGTGGTTTTTACCACCAGTGAAAATGGTCCCTTCTTTCACTGACCACCAGTCTATAGGGGCCCTTCTCCACTGACCACCAGTCTATAGGGGCCCTTCTCCACTGGCCACCAGTGTGAGAAGACTTTTTTTTTTTTTTTTTACTGTCCAATGTGAGGGAACATCTTCACTGTCCCTTTTTTTGGCCATTGCTGTTTCATTTAATTATTTTTGCTAAAATTAATTTTGTCGTGCAGAGCAGCCCTCAATTTTAAATATGTTAAGTCTATCACATTTATTTTTATTAAAATTTTTCCTGTATCTCAACTTTAGTGTCCATGCTACTGTACCATGAGCTGTAAAATAATTATTAGAAAGGGTTCACTGAGACCTGAAAGCTATTTTAAGAGTTCCTCCTTTGCTTCTCAATCTGTCTGTTCCACTCTAGTGCCCTCCCACTATAGTTTTAAAAATATAAATATTTAAAAAAGGTCTCCATTGCTCTTTAAAGTGGACCTGAACTCAAAAATTAAATACATTTTTTTATGTTATAAGGGACATTTAGAAATGTTAATTGTGACTAAGCAGTGTCCTGAAAATGTACTGTACCTTTTGGTTGTAATTCCTCCTGTGAAAAAGCAGTGCAATTTGGGTATGTGGGGGTGCACTGTTGCACTGTAAGCTCTTAGGCTGGCCTTACATTATACCATTTTCTTGTTTAATTTCCTTTACCTTAACCTTTTAATTATGTAGTGCAAGGGCCTGCATGATTGCATACAAATTGAAAGTGTTTAGGTGTGTTTGGTAAATCTAAAGGAAAATTGATTAATGTATGGCCAGCCTTCACTATATACCTGCCATGTGAGACTTAAGGACCTGCTGTGTCTGACTACTGCTGTTAAGATTTTGAGTGAGATTTGGTAGTGTCACTGGTCATTGTCCTCCTTGGGTAGGAGGACCTGTTATTAGGAATCAAAGCTGTGCCTCCAACCGAAAAGGCCACCACTTGGAAAAACAGTGGAGAACAAGGCATGGTAAGTCTGTAATGGGGAAAGATCCATTGCAAGGAGACTACATGCAGTATGGGTAACTAGTTCTGTGTCCTCTGCCTTTTTTAGGACACAACTTTCAGAGTTTAGGATTCCTTAAAGTAGAAACCCAGTCTAACAAACTATTCCAAAAAATGCCCCCCCCCCCCCCCTTCCTGCTACCTATATTGCCTCACCTGTGTAAAAAAGATGTGTATACTTGTCTATTTTTAATCCACTCTGGTCTGGTAATGTCATCCCCTGTGTTAGTGAGTGGCAGCTGTGGGGAGAGGAAGGAGCACTCAACAGTTGGCAATTCTAGGAGCAATGATATCACTCATAAGCTCCTATGTCCCAGCCATTGTCCGTGCCTCCTCTTCTCCCCTGCAGCCACTGCTGACTGACACAGGATATCCGGAGCTGTGGGTCACGTGACTAGACTGGAGCCGACTAAAAATAGGTAAGTATACACATATTTTTTTTACACAGGCTAGGTAGTAGGATGGGGAAGGGAACATTTATAAGACTAGTTGGTGTGAAGTTGGAATACATCTTTAAACATTAACCATTTAAACATGCTCTTGGCTGCCAGGAGTGTTTACATCTGTCAAGCCGACTGTCCTCTTTTTGCTGGAAGCGGTTTAGGTGGCTGTAAAATAACCCAATAACTTCCACTCACTGCTGGTAGTAGAGGGTAAGGTGTGGTGTATATTCACTAAAATGGTTTTTTTTTTTAAACTGGAAATATGGGTTTGATGAACTATTCTATTCTAATATCATACAACATAAAAAAAAGTACACCTATAACTATTTTATTCTCCAGGGTCTCTGCTTGTATAAAATATTTATTTTTATTTATTTCAGGTACTTGTATAGCGCCGTCAATTTACGCAGAGCTTTGCATATATA